CAAGTTACAAAACCCCATTATTTATTACAGTCAAAATATTTCGCGCGATCGCCATATTATTACTCATTTTGCTAAAGAATAAATTTACGACGAATATATGTTTGTTATGATGTCAATACATACAAATTTCAAATGTTTCCATCTCACACTTCCACACGGCCGCCATGGTGGTACTGTTGTGAAGGTGTGGAGCTAAAAATACCAACGTAGGATACTCATTTCGATATTCAAGAGAGGCTTTGAGCAAGCGGCTATAGCACTGATAGCGCAATGACACGGAAATACGGATCTGCCCAGTACAGTTCCGAAGGAGACACATTGTAACCGCCTAAAATTACAGGCATATTTAATCCTTAGCCTTTATTTTCTTATTTAATGATTGGGCTTGAAGAGCGCGAGTATATCGCGGGACTTGAAATTCTTTTCTGTGGTTTGGAGCAAGAAACCTGAGCATAAACCAATTTCTGCCACCTAACTCAAGCCAAGAGGAGTCCAGCCGGTCGGAGTAGAACCTGGGGTTGATGACTTCCAGATGTGAAATGCATTACATATGATGGCGTGGCTTTAGTTAGTTTTAACCAACAGGAATGCCTACATTCGATGTAGGTGTGAGGAACTCTGTTCGAATCCAGCCAACTGGTAATGAGGAACTGGTGTTAGCGCCGGACGTCACTGCTTGGAGATGATGCTTCGCTAGTACGAGTTATCTGGGGGGGAGGGGGGCTTTTGCTTCAATTGCACCGGTCATTCGACGTGTTTTCAGACTTCGGAAATTCAGTATAATGAATTAATACGAGTAGCTGTTAAATTTACGCGAGGCAAAAATCGAGCACATTGTCTCATCGCTTCTGCGAATTAAGGAACCCAATTTACGGGGCCGTGCCACGGCTCAGGCGGTTATTCATCGGCTTCCCACCCCGGCGGCCCGGGTTCGAGCCCGGATCAGGTCATATGGGATTTGTGGTGGACAAAGTGGCACTGCAGCAGGTTTCCTCCGAGTACTTCCGTTTCCCCTCCCAATTCGCATTCCACCGACTGCTCAACAATAATCATCATCATCTGGGGCTGGTACAGTAGGCCAGAAGTGGCCGCAGTACAAGGGACTTAGTCCCACCCCACTAGCAATAAAGAAAAAATACCTATTCTTACCCATCCAGTCCTCAGCTAAGGCTACCCAGCAGGAGGTCAGGCTGACTCAGAAATGCACTTATCGATGACGGCACTTTCACACTGAAGTTAATTAAAATTCCTCCATTATAAGATTCAGAGTCATGCCTATTAACACTGTTATTCTTCTTAAGTTTAAGAAAGACAAATTATTGTTACAGATTTGCTCAGAGCATTAAGCTATGGAGCCAGAAAACCCCGTTGCTACGTAAACACGTCCCTAACGCAGTCAACAACAGAACTCTGGCTGCTTAGTAGCGAATGTTTCGCGGCAACGAGCACGCTTGGAGGAATTTCCATGGATACGAGCTAGCCTATATACGGAGCGGCGGAGGCTCTTCATTCATTCAAAAAGGAGTACATTCGTTAATAATGGAGGATGGAGAATCAGATGCCGTGTGGAGGCGGGGTCGAATACCTCCACCGTAGCCCTGCGAGTCGTAGCAGGCGACGAAAATGGACCCCAGTGCCTGGGGGTATAAGCGGGCCACCTTGTTCCTGGGGAATATAAACACGGGGACCTGGCCCTCAAGATTCGGGGGAGTCTGAAATGTGAGACAGCAAAATATGGCCATGAGTCCCGTGGGACTCGGACCTGAGAATGACTGCGCTGGCGAGGACCAGCAACAGTTGTAAAAGACAGACCCATCGTCTCGTCAGAGAGGATGTTATATAAGGACTATAACCGCAAGTGTCTAGCTGGGAAATAAAAATTCTGGTCGTGGGTCTCAAGAGGATTGTCGCCAAGACGAACAGATGGGCGGTTAACCGCCAGTCGTAAAGTAACTCTGAACTCTGAATTCATTCGTTCATTTCGACAGACAGATGTCGTTCAAGGCAGTTCAACAGCTGAAGTTTTAACCAGACTTATCTGGTTAAAACTTCGTTACCAAGCAACGACTAAGCAAACAGACAGTGAAGGCTTCATTTTGTGTGTTATAGTTACAGTAATCTTCAGAGTGTTATAATTATTTGTAGTTACGTCTTGTGGGCGTCAAATAAACCTATTCATCTTATACAAACCCCGTCTAAAAGTTACTAATACATGTGACAATATCTATGTATTTAACAAAGAAGAATAACACTCAAAATTAGTTTGTTTGAAGTAGCACCTGTTGAGTAAGTGGTTATCGTGGACTATGGAAGAATCTTGGCACCAATTTTCATGCATCTATGGTAGATAAGTGGGATGGTATAAAACATATCGCGATACAATTCCTAGAAAAATCACGTTCCCTGGAATTGAAATTTCTGACAATTTTATTTTGTATTAAGGATGTTACTGTGTTATCACGCAGCCTATATATCAGTTTGTACAAAATTAAAGGAAAATATAAAGCCTACATTTATTTTAGGAATGTGTCTGTATACACGCTGGCGCATGCGTATATATTATTTATATATATATATATCATTTATTTATATCATGTCTTACTCGTATAGTTCATGCCGCATTTAGACCGCGAATTTCGTGATCCTGTAAGACATACTCCAGCTAGGAATAACTGTTTCCAAATCTTCCCTCTACGACTTTACATACCGCATATGATTGGTTTGATATTCAATTATTGTAGATAAAAATTACTCGCTGAGAGAATTAATAAACATTTGATAGTAGACACACACGCACGCACGCACGCACACACACATACATAAATTTGTACTTGCATAGTTCGAAATGCACGTCACATTAAAATGACTGAAATAAAATAGCGTATCTTTAAATACAGTCATACATGTGAAGCTGGCCGCCTGTGAGTACTAACCACCAGCCATAATTATCCGCATATTTATGCAACCGACAGAATTGTAGTAATTTATACACGACAGACACTCTTCAGCGTGCCCATTTATCTTGTTTACTGCCCTTCATGGTATGTTCTGAACATATTTTAATCTCTCTTACGTTTGTCATAGAAATTACATTTTTCTACCAATCTGTCAAATAGAAGTCTCTCCGCCCATTCATCCCTTGCATATACCTGATAAATCCATTTTCTGCTCTTTCACTACAAATCGGCAGGCAATGAAATCCTACAATTAGATTCAGTACACCTTGCTCTTAATGACATGGTAGCAATATTTGGAATTTCATTCGGAACTTTGACCCTTCGTGCTGATTATCAATAAGTAGTTCGTAGCCAGCTGTTTCTGAAGAGGGACCTTTTGGACTTTCCAGACCAGACCAGTCGACTCAGTCTTGAGTTACAATGTTAGCGGCCGCTACCTAGCAACGACTACTGAAAACAGGATAACAAAGATAATACTGTAGCCGTAGTGGTTTATATAGTATGTAAATTACACCGGTATAATAATTTGTAGTTATGAGTTATAAGCGTCCAGCAAATCCAATTATGAATCCAATCCCCGTGTGTAGTCACTAACACGTGACAATATGAAGCATAACTAAAAGCTATCTGAAAGACAAAATTGTTGACCAGCGAACAATTGCTCAACATTTTTGTGTGGCGATTTCAATTCAATGGGCCCTCGATTTACGATGCCATCGATTAACGACCCCACCCCTCATATGGTCCCACTGTCTGTCCTAACGACATGTTTACGATGTGACGTGGCCGCAACGCTCTTAATTTGACTCAGTCAGTGAGCGACGCCCTTTTCTGAGAGTCTTATGCTCACGTGACTTGCCTTTCAGTGTCTGGTGTTTGTTGCTTGTGGAAACATATTCCCTGAATACTTAATGCTTTTATTTTTACTTAAAAGTTACATATGGGCAATAAAATTCGAAATAAAATAGTGCCACATGGCGGATACTCCAACCACGTATTAAACACAAAACATACAACCTACATTATGGACGATAAAAGGATAGGAAAGAAAGGGAAGTTTAGCAAATGAGCAAATGAGCAAATAAGCAAAGACAAACTACATATGAACAACACATACACTGACATACACGACACACACACACAGGCCATATACGGACTCTACAATAGATAGCAGCACCCTTCCCCAATCATAAATATCGGCCCCAATCCCGTGGAACTTTCGTACTCCACACACACACACACACACACACAATCACGGGATATGTAACCAAGCTACGATTCACGAAATACACATCGCTGCCAAAAAACAGAACAAATGAAGAACACTAAGACATTTGTATAACATATAATTTTAAATTATTTTCAAATTATTATCAAATTTAAATTGTTTTAACACAAACCACATTTTTTTTTGCAATAATAGACACTTTGACGCGCAGGCCTCGCTGTATATATACTACAGGGTGAATCATATAGAACCGGCCCGATTAATTTGCTAATAATTCCGCAGGTGATGCATATAACCGCTCACAATTACGACATAATAATCCGTGGGCCGTGCTGAGTCGAATGGTGTGCGCATGATCCGGCAAGTGGCAGCCCTTATGCTGCAAGGTCAAGGACAATGCCGAAACGTGTCTGTGGCCAGCAGGCGACAGTCATGGAGTACATTGTTGAACAGCGAGTGTTTCTAATGCCTACTTGAAAACGGCGGACACTTTCAACACCTGCTCTGATCACGGCACACAATCAAAGATAAGATATGTGTAAATTACTTTAATATCTGTATGGTATATTTTATAGTACACCTCATTTCGTCGGGCTGGTTCTATATGAATCACCCTGTATTACAGTGCAGTATAAATATAGACTAAATGCTGATTTGAGGCTGAATTTTAAGACTGCGTGTTGAAACGTGAAAAGGTCTTTTAAGACCGAAATTTGGTTCTTGGGTGGGAAGTACCAACTCAAAGAGACTATCACAAATATATCAAATGAATATGTATATATATTAAATAACAAATACAAATACAACCTAAGTACCTGGAGGTAATAAGCCTCCGACAATCACAATCGTACAGGCCAGAAAAGGTGAATTGACTGCACAGTTCAGGGTCCCACAACAGAATGGATCACTCGCGTTGGACCTCAGCCGACAGGAACCAGGAAGTGGAACATTGGAAGGGGTAAGCAGTAAGAAAGGGGGTGGGGAAGACGCCCTCTGACGTAACGTAGACCCGGCGTTACAGTGTACATATAAACTGTGTTCTCATAACGTTTACTTATTATTATTAAAACTATCCGTTTAAATATTGTAAACTGTGTTTTAGGGCGAAAAAGGTCAATTTTTAATATCTCGGAACGAATTAAGCTTTTAACATAATTTCCTATATTCGATTAACGATAATTTCAATTAACGGTGGTTTTCGTGGGGTGAACTGATCTCGCTAACCGAGGAAACATTAAGAAGAGAATGTGTTCTGAAGGCTTGCAAGGAGGCCTGCAGGCAGCAAAATGAAACATAAAATTATGTAAAACAGATAACGCATGAGTATCTGCTAATATCCTCGTTCTGAAACGTCTCCAAAGAAATCGCGCAGAAGATACTGCATATACCGAGCCAACAGTGTGTAGTCATATAGACACAAAAATGCGGAAGTTTGACACCAATTTTTCTAACTTGGCAACATATTGAAGTCAGCCACGATTGAGTGGAACACGGACAGTACAGACAGGTTTCAGTGTAGTTTTTACTCATATTCTTAGTAAGATATGTTTCGAAACGTTTCAAATATGGGTCACAGTAGACCGATTTGTAACAAAATAAAAAATTTGTGAGACCTTCTATGCAGATGGCGTACCCGGGCGGGAGGACACATACGACATCACAATTATGCGTTCACTTCGTATACTGAGAGCAAACAATGTAAGAATATATATATATAGTTACTCCAAGCCGTCTCTTACCTTAAGATTTTCTGACCAAAATTTTGTGTCCGTTTATCATCTGCCTCCATGCATGCTACACGCCTTGCCAGTCGGTTCCTTATTGATTTTGTCACCCTAATATCTGGTGAGGAGTACAAAATATGTAGCCCGTCATTTGAATTCTTCGTCACCGTCCTACATTTCCTTTCCCTTAGGTCAAGGATTGGGTACTGAGTTCATAATCATTGTTTTTCTTCGATTCTGTAAAAAAAGATGCGTGCCAGAGACCAAGGTCCTTTGCTTGTGGAAAATTCCTTTATTGTGAACACACACACTTCTTATTTATGGTGCTGAAGATAATCGACATTATATTGAACGGGCCTTACATAAGCTGCGATAAGGCGCAAGTGTACAGACTCACAGGCCACCAATCTATGTGAGAATTCCGCCGCCAGAAATATCGGTAGCTTAAATCCCACGCTTCCGAGGTGAATTTACGAAGTCAGTAGGAGGAGCCCTTACATCCATCTTACAAGACCTCTTCTGAGAATATCATGGGGTTATTTAATGATGCTTTGAAAACTGTAGATGTTTGTACCATCATATAGGAAATTATAATGATCATGTAAGATTTGAGATTTCACGACGTTGACTATGAAGAAAGCGGTCTTCTGGGATGTGGCACCGTGTAGATGTGGTGTTAACCGACGTTTCGGAGGAACGTATCGCCTCCATCTTCAGGGTAGAAGGAAAAATAAGAAATCCGCAAGCGAAGAGACCGTGAGAACCGGTACAAGCAGCCTGCTTGTATCAGTTTTCACGGTTCTCATTTACTCAACTTGGTTTAATCTTTTTACCTTTCATTGCTAGATAATGACGACTGAAATACAACAAATGTATTTATAACGTTTATTCGAAGCACTTTATTAGTCAAACGTCACAAAATGATGGCAAGAAAGGTTACAAAGCTTCTGGTTTATGGATATGAATAAACCCCACACCAAGAGAAAGTACATGGTTGGGCCAAGCTGGGGCAGAAGTGGAGACGATGAAAGTACCAAACATATCTGTTCGCCAGGAGCCATAAAGGGAAAATGTGCAGCACGTTTTAAAGACTGGGGCTGTTTGACTTGAATTGGTAAAATATAACAACATGAAACGATAAAAATGAGATGAAAGTTGTTTGGTGCCAACCTGTGAGAAGTTCAGCATCCAAAAAGTGTAGCCTGTAGCACTGTTCTTATTAGAGGCACGCAACCATCAGAAATGATAAATTATTAAAAGAGAGGAGGACCTCCAGCTTACGTAAGTTCAAACTACTGCGTCTCAGCTTTCAGCCGCGGTGAAATCGATGAAAACTTCCTGCGGTGCTCTAATATTACAGCAGGCACTTGTTCCTTTGCGGTCTTCGCGTAGACACACCGTGTTTTGTTTCCAATCGTTTAGGCGGTGGCGACATGAAACAGTGTTTTGTTCTTACATTTGACTACAAAACAAAGATATGGTTATCGAGAGACCAATTTTATATCAACAAAATCATCTATTTAGCATTCTATTAATTCAACGTCGTTTATACAATATTACCATTACCACTCCTCTCCTTGAAATGATTTCTGGATACGCCACTGGTCTGCAGCATCTGTCATATTAGTTTGAGATAATAACAAAGGGCTTGCACAAAGTAAATGTTTATATACAGGATGTCCCAGGAGGAATGGACCAAACTTCGGGAGGGTGTTCCTTATATTAAAGTATGCCTACATAACCCAAAACACCTATGTCCAAAGTTGAACGGTTACGGAGATAATGGCCAGAGAAGTGTCAAACTTTGACCGGCGTTGCACACGTGTTGATTACAAAATACATATTAAAACTGGCAGGAATATGTGGATTCTGTAATGTTAATAATGTACGTAACATAAAACTAACTTGTGAGTGACATAAAGCCATAAAATTGAAGTACAAAATACTCGCTCGCCATGTCATAATTGTCCTTAGGGTTTCCAATCACTATACATGACACATGACTGGCGAGCGATGACGTAATGTGCTGACTGCGCGTTCTGGTATGAGCCAACTACACAAGCACGGCTAGGGAGTATCATCGCACTCAAGGACAAACATAGATAAGGGCTCTCAGCTGACAGGTACAGTGCGTGGACCCGCCAGAAGACCACACTTTTCTTGGGCCATTATCTCCGTAACCGTTCAAATTTGGACATAGGTGTTTTGGGTTATATCGGCATACTTTAACATAAGGAACACCCTCCCGAAGTGTGGTCCATTCCTCCTGGGACACCCTGTATATACAGGGGGGTCCAAAAATGTACTCACTCTTTGATAGTCAATATCTTTGGAAGAAAATAACATGTAGTTACAATTCTTGCGCGGTAGTGTAGTGTAATGTTTTCTCAACAGATGGCGAAGGTCTCACGAGTCATGTTAGTGTCGTGCCGCGTGCGCGCTGCCAGCAGAAGACAGTAGCAACAATGGCTGAAAGGTTGTTCTTTGAGCAATGCAAGGCTGTACTGAAGTGGTTTTGGAAGTACGAAAACATTAAGAGGTACAACGACAATGCCAGAATGAGTTTGGAACTCAGCCACCAACACGTCGAACAATTGCCCGTATTCGAGATAAATTTGATGCCGATGGTACTGTTCATGATGTGCGTAAGCAAAGATCTGGGCGACCACCACCGTAACTGGTCAGGTGTATTTCGATATGCTTCAGACATCGATTTTCCCTGCATTCGAGAGCTGTTTGGAGAGGAGAGATTTTACCTACAACAAGATGGTGCTCCACCTCACTACCATCGAGATGTCAGGGCGTACTTGGATGACACTCTACCTGGACGATGGATAGGTCGAAGAGGTGCTATTGAGTACCCACCACGGGCTCCAGGCCTAACACCTCTCGACTTCTACCTATGTGGAACCTTGAAGGATGAAGTTTATTGACAAAGCCAGCTACACGGAACTTGCTAACAGAAACCATCTAAGCGTCGTGTGCAGCCATCACACCGGACACACTGACAGCCGTAGTTCGCTCAGCAGTTCGCCGGCACTGACGCTGTTTAGCCGCTGATGGTGGGAACTTCGAACACATACAATGACTCTCTCTCTCTCTCTCTCTCTGCGCAAGAATTGTAACTACATGTCATTTTGTTCCAAAGATATTGACTGTCAAAGAGTGAGTACATATATTTGGATCCATATACACACACACACACGTGGTTGAGTAATTAATTTCGTGGACTGTGGTTTTATCGCAACATTTTACAAGGTATTCACATATGCAAATCCACATCGGCCCTCAAAATAGTTGCCATTGGCCGCTATGCAAGTCTGCCAACGTTGCTATAGCTGTCGAAAACATTGCTGAAACATATTGGCAGTAAATTCCCGTACGACACTTTGCGGCCATTCTACGAACTTAAAAACTGTGGTAGTATATAAGCGCAGATGGTTGAGGCACTACGCTACAAGCCAGGAGGTCGCGGGTCCGATTTCCGATGATGTCATTGGACTTTTCAATTACCCTAATCCTTCCATCCGTCCTGGGGTCGACTCAGCCTCTAACAGGAATGCGTACCAGGAATATTCCTAGGAGTAACGGACGGCCGGCGTGTAAGGCTGACTAACACACCGCCATCTGTGAGCCGATTTACTAGAAAAACGTGGGAGCCTCGACGTCTCACAATCCTACGGGCTCTACTGCCAGTTACGGGATAACTTATATATCTATATAAAACTAAAAGTATCCTTGTAACAAGCCGTGGAGGCCCATGGGGTTGTGGGATGTTGAGGTTCCCACATTTTCTAGGCAATCGGCTCACAGATGGCGGCAAGGTTGTCAGCCTTACGCGCCGGCCACCCTTTATCCCCAAGAATATTCCNTACTGCTGCGCATTTTAGGCGCGCATTCGAGAAGTCAGGAAAGGGTTCTCCTTGTTTGCTCTCTTTCCTTCTAGACAAATACTGGAAGGCCGATGATGAAGGCTACTTCCTCATCCATTTCATCCAACACAGCAACAAACAACATAGTTCCAACCATACATATCTGTCTACCACGTGTAACATAGTGATACAACATTACAAGCAAGGATGGAGAGCGATTTCATGATTTCATTTCCACATGAGCTCAAGGCGAAAATGCGGGATTCATAAGATATTGAGATAATGTTTACAAGAGAC